TTGGAGTTTTAAAACGTCAATTAATCATTATTGATCACCAATAGACTCATTAAAGTTATTCGAACTCATTTGAACAAACTTTCTTTAAAATTTGAAAGTTTCACGCATATTCATTGACGATTGATTGAATGCTCATTTTTGACAATGATATCAGAAAATCTGTTATTTTTCCCAATGTTACAGGTATCGAACATAAAATCAATTTCTTTCTATACTATAATAAACTATTTTTAATTATACTATTTTTGCTTTAATTCACGTCTCTTGAACCAGAGATCCATTTAGAATATATTTATATTTAATAACGTGAAATATTGTTATTCAAGATGTGATTAGACGATAATGTAAGATGAATTTGTTTTATGTTTAGTTCCTTTTGAGAGAGGTTGAATTTTTAATAACCTACTTACTTGTCCAGACATCCTACTTTTATGTTTAAACCGCATTAAAACAGTTTTCATTCAACCTACGCCTACATATATTATTCAGAGATATTTTAAAACCTAATTATTGCAGGATACGAATACCAAGGGGATACAAGTAGAACGCCTATTTGCATATATCATATTAACAACTTATAACCTACTGACAAAAAGTCGTTTGCAGCCACGCAAAACATAGAATAGCACAATTTTGACCGTTTTGAAAAATAGTCCTACGTAAACTTGGCGAAATACTTAGATAACGTATGAAATAGTTCCTTATCATGTAAGTGTTTTAATCCATTTTCTTAATGGCGAAGCTTGAAATTAAAAGATTAGCAAGTTCGTCAGGTTGGAGGGAAAAAGCTGACCTTAGTAATCGAGGATGAGGCGTGTGCTAAATATTGTTTCATAAAGGTCAAAAGAGCCTTCTCAAAGCGGCTGTGCCAAACCTAGAAATTGCCCCGCGACCTTACTCAACCAGGCCTAAAAGTTCACAGAAGCGATTTTACCTTCATTCACAAATGGCTGCTCATAGCTATTCAGAAAGAAGGAAGGAAAGCGATTAAAGCAGTACAGAATGAAGTAAATTATAGAGATTTTTTCTCCCAAAATGTCGTTATTTGTAAGCTGGTAGATTCATTTTTATTAAATAAATTGTTATTTTTATGATATTTAAACTGTTGTATAGATAATTTAATTGCCATAAGCCAACGATATATTATAAATAAAATAACTTATTTAAACAAAAACGGCAATAATGAGACCCAAATATCGAAAAACGGAGTGAACGATATCCCTCCTTAGATTGTTGTTATACATATCAAAACCAAAACATCGATATCCTAAATAAAAAACTAATCATGGATTTTCTAACTATAAAAAACGAAAAGATCGCTAAGTCATAAGCAAAACTATGATTCCCTAAATGTAAAAACAAAAAGATAGACATCCTAAAGTATACAAATACAGTTCTAAACTAACCTATTTTAAATTAATACGTGGTCACCTACTGCCACAATTATCGAAGATCTGGCCTTATTGAACAAACGAGAAACACCTTCTCTGATGATCAAGGCAGAATTCTTGCGAATTTTAAATAACTATCCCAATTATAAAGTTTTTTATACCGATGGATCTAAAAATGAAATTGGTGTAGGGTGTGGGATATTTGCTGATGGGTATCCTCAGCTGGTCTCTATCGAATGAGGCTAGCGTATACATACACAGCTGAACTTCATGCAATCAGAAGATCATTGAGCATTATAAAGGAATCGCAAGGAATTTGTAATGCCATTATTTGCTCTGATTCGAAAAGTGTTCTCGAAGCAATCAAAAATAATTTCTCGGTTGACCCATACATCTTAGAAATTCACAAATATCTCTATGAAATCAGAATCAACAAACATGTGGTATTCGTTTGGGTTCCTAGTCATGTCGGCATTTCTGGAAATGAAAAAGCTGATCAACAGGAAAGGAACGCTGCAAACCATCCACAAAGAACAGATCAATTTCCTCTCCGCCCAGATGATATAGTCGTTTATGTTAAAAACATTATCAAACGAAAGTGGGCGGCAAGATGGAATGTCTGTAGAGATAGTTCGAAAGAAATTAATGTTGGCCGTTTATGGCCAACTGAGGAACTTGAGAGAAAAGAACTTGTGATTCTCTCTAGGTTGCGGCTAATCCAACGGATAACATCAGGCTAATCCATAATAGGCTTTTAGTAGGCAATAACCGTCCAACTTGTCCTCGATGTATACGAAGTGGAGTACGTATCATTCTGACAGTAAAACATATTTTGGTCGACTGTCCCACTTGAACCTTTAGGCAAAGGTTCAACCTTTCGAGTTGATTTACAGGAGTTACTGGGTCCCCAGTGTTTCTTTCGAAGAGCACTTTTCAGTTTTCTCAAATTTATTGGAATTTATAATGAGATTTAGGCCTTTTCCCAAATTGTTATAGCATTCAACGTTTGCCTGCTAATGTTTGAATGAAAGTTGTGCAAGATTTTTTTTTTCAGAAATTTTTGATGCTGCCGGAGCGGAAAAATGAAATGGAAGAAAATACAAATTGCGGGGTAATAAACTGCAATCCCCCCCCCCAAAAAAAAAAATGTATGAGCCTATACTCATGCTGAGACTGTTGGCGCGTTTGACTGATAAAAACAGCAAGGCTGGAAAGGTGAAGTTGATCGTGGACGAAGCATCGATTAAAGAGCGTTCATCACCTTGCACATCTCACCACAATGTTTCACAAAAATAGTTATGTCCTCATTTCCAAACAGTATTTTTTCTTCTTTACGAAGGGCACGAAGAGATTAATCGGTTGCAAAATGGAATTCCATCAGAAAAAGGAGCTAATGCGGTCTAGGCTGGTGATAGCTTATAAAATTAGAGACTGATTCATCCAAATTGGGTTTGTAATCGGCTCTTTCAAAGAAATAATTGTAAACATTCTTGAGACTAAAGACTGAAAAACAAAACAGAGGTCATATCAACCCTCGTGTCTAGTATTCTTCCATCGAAAAAACTAATTTGGAAGTACTTTGGATTCGAATTCAGGGTCGCTCAGCCGCCGTGTCAACGCCTTAAATTTGAGAAATAAAAAGAAATCCGAAATATCAAAAACAAAAAGGACGATAATCCTTATAGCCTAATTACACAAAAATAAGGTAATCAATAATAAGATAATAGATTACCTAAAAAAATACGTAACAACTTTGCGTCAAATTAAATACCGTAAAGATAGTTGCCTCAAATATATAAAACGAAAATGTCTACCTCAAATCTAAATTATGTAAAGATAGTTGCCTCAAATATGAAAAACGAAAAGATAATTTCCTCAAGCATAAAAAAAAGATAGTTGTCACTAATATAAAAAACGAAAATATCGTTGTCTCATATATAAAAAACGAAAATGCCTGCCACAAATATAAAGGTTATAAAGATTAGTTGCCTCAAAAATAAAAACCGAAAAGAGAGTTGACTAAATATAAGAAACGTAAAAATCATTGCCTCAAATATAAATAATGTATATATAGTTGCCTCAAATATGAAAAACGAAAATATAATTTCCTCAAATAAAAACAAGATAGATGTCACAAATATAAAAAACGAAAAGATCATTGTCTGAAATATAAAAAACAAAAATGTCTGCCACAAATATAAATTATGTAAATATTTGTTCCCTCAAATATAAAAAAAGAAAAGATACTTGACTCAAATATAAAAACGTAAAGATCATTGCCTAAAATATAAATAATGAAGGGTAGTTACCCCAAATATAAAAAATGACAAGATAGTTGACTCAAATATAAGAAACGTAAAAATCATTGTCTCAAATATAAATAATGTATATATAGTTGCCTCAAATACGAAAAACGAAAAGATAATTTCCCCAAATATTTATATAAAAAACAGATAGTTGTCACAAATATAAAAAATGAAAAAATCGTTGTTTCAAATATAAAAAACGAAATGTCTGCCTAAAAATATAAATGATGTAAAGATAGTTGCCTCAAATATAAAAAACGAAAAGATTCTTCACTTCAACATAAGAAACGTAAAAATCATTGCCTCAAGTATGAAAAACGAAAAGATAATTTCCTCAAATATTTATATAAAAAACAGATGTCACAAATATAAAAAATGAAAAGATCGTTGTCTCAAATATATAAACGAAATGTCTGCCTCAAATATAAATGATGTAAAGAAAGTTGCCTCAAATATAAAAAAAGGAAAAGATTCTTCACTTCAATATATGAAACGTAAAAATCAAATATAAAAAACGGAAAGATAATTTCCTCAAATGTAAAAGAAAAGATCGTAGTTAGAAATATAGAAGAAAAAAGATTATGTTCAGAAACATTAACAACGAAAAGGTCGATACACTAAGTATAAATAAATGTTGAAAACTACAAATAGATACACTAAGTATAAAAAATCGATATTCTAAATAACAAACCAAAATTTCGATATCCTAAATATCATAAACGAAATGATCGATGTCTGAAACAACAAAAACAAAATGATCATGTAAATATCAATAACAAAAATAGTTCTTCAACACCATGCAAAACAACGAAAACAATGATCGGAATTAACATCGAGTAGATCTAGACACTATATATCAACAACAAAAATATTGATATTTCATCATACAAATCAGACTGAGTCTGAAATATCAGAATCAAAAAGAAATACCAAAAACTGTTATTTCAAAAGGCTGCCAGCAAATTTAACCATAGGCAACATTTCAACATTTTAATTTTCTTTCTCCAATCTGAATGCTTAAAATAAAGAAATCGAAATATACATGTATGTACTTATGTGAAAAGGTCTTCACTGTTTCGACGTACATAAGTGCAGGTTGCGTGACTTAAAGATGGTTCTAAAAAACAAGTCTACAGAAGGAAAATTGAGGAGAGTGAATTTGTAAATGACACGAAAGCACCTCTCATTAAAAGACGATCTCACGAAACGTTTCACAACCACTGTCGTTTCTCTGTTCCATTCTTCAGTTCAAGAGTAATATTTTGCCTTTGAGTATTCAAATGTAAAGTGATTTATAGCTTACTTGTGTGTTAAGTGCTCTGAAGCAGGAATCTATCTGAAGTCTTTCCAGTTCGCTTAACTCCGTGGAGCTGTCGCTGCTGCCTGAAGTGCTTGCAGCAGAGCTCTCGCCATCCTCCGGAGAGCCTGTTCTCTGTCCTGTCCAATCGGGCATGGTGTTCCTAGAACAAAATAAGTTTCGGTATTATAAACCCTGTTGAATTTTAAATTTCAACTTGATTTCCAACCACGTTCAGGTAACGAATGCAACGTAATCCGATTGGGTTTAATCTTTAATATCTCATAAATCGTTGAATGTACTGGGGAACCGGTCCCACCTTGTAGACTTGGTCCGGTTTTTGAACTAACCCAGCGGCCGCCAATGCCCATTTATTATTTGGATAACGGAAATGCAAATGTAATTGTTTTAACGTAAGAAAACCCTCGGATAGGATAATCGTTAACATTTTTAACTGCGTCCATGCGCTTGTAGGACCTTGTTTGGAAAAATCAATTACGCAAAAGAGGTTTTGACCAATACCGGATGAGAAGTCATGTCCTCGAGACCCCAGCAATGGCAAAGAGTTATTTTTTCACATAATGAGTTTACTTAAGGGCAAAGTGAATTTCTCGTAAAACAATTTATTTTTAAGTTAAAAAAAGGAAATGTTGAAATTTATGTAATTAACAGTCGGTATAATGTAAAGACTTAAATGACATCTCAGTATATTAATGATTAACTATAATTTTGACCTGTTGAGATCTTTCATTTGTAATCTTCATTCTATTTGTAAATATTAACAAACCTGAAGTGACCGATTTGATAAATAGTTTATCAGTGACATATTTTTTTTCTCCTTAAACCTATATCAACTGGGCCGTTCCAGGTCACTGTAGTTTCATAATATCACATTGCTTTATCTTTATTGACAAACAGCAGTAGACGACGAGGTACTGAAAATATTAAAAAGGGATATGATTTACGAAAGGGGGGCACGTCCACAGGGGGGCGATTAAACGTTGGCCAATCAACCAAGATTGGGGTTTGATTGTCTGAGATTTTGGACGGTAATGAAAAAATTACAAGGGTCGAAATTGACAGGCACGTTTCAAAACTAATTACGTAGTATCTTTCGAAAAGCTACTAAGCCTAATAAAAAAATTACATAGATTTGTATATAATTCAATCATACATGCAGAAGAATCGATCCTTCAAATCTAACTTCTAGATCAGGTCTAAAGATCTATTTGAAAGTTCAATTTTTTTTGCAAATGTTACTACATTTCAATATATTCTTTTAAAAGTTGGTAATTGTTATTTTTTAATATTACCATTTTGACGTTTTTGATATGGTTTACACTACAGAAATTAAAGATATTTTGCATATCGGCGTGAAGGAAAGGAGTTCATCAGTAGTTTCATATTTTCACAGGAAATTAGGACGCAGGCGAAGGCTGGTCTTAATAAATTGCTATAATAAATTTAACCTTAATTAAAGGGGTACACTTCATACCGGCTTGTATTCCTAATTCTACGCAAACCGGAAAACAAATAATGCACCATATTCGAAATATTACCAAAATTTCAAAACAAACTATATGAAGATGTATCGAAGAGACTGGGTTCGCCGGGGTAAAAAATTTTCCGGTTCAAACTCAAAATTGAAATGAAATGAAAAAAAAGGATTTTTTTCATTAACGTGCCAGAGGTTTGTCATGTTTTGTGGCCACGCCAACACGACATATAAACGTACAAAAACAGTTCGTGTGTCACACGGACTCAAAGGTCCCGTCGGTGAACTTATTTTTCCCACCTCAAGTTCTCAGGCGATTATTAAAGATGGGGAAGTACAATTCACCTTTGTCACAAGTTTGAAACTTCAATAAATTTATTTTTTAATAGCACTTGATAGCCTATTAAAAACTTCAGAAACGTTCTATTTTCCCACTTGATGTTCTCAGGGCATTGTTAAACATAAAAAATGCACATCTCTATTTTGCCAAGAGCTTCCTGTTCGAATAAATATATTGTTTTTATTATTCTTGTTTTTATGGTCACTTGACGTTTTTATGATTTTGCGTAACTGTTGAGATTGATTTTCTGGAGTAGCTTTTGGTTGGATTTTTGCCGTGTTAAAATCGAGTGTATCATTATCATGCTGGCTTAGTGATCGTGTCGGCCGAGGGAACGGAAGAACTGATCATACTGACTGGTGGCTTCATCGCGACCGGATCTACCTTCCTTTTATTTTAATTGCATCAATATACTTTTGCCTTTTCAAATTGTGTCCTTTCTCTATTCGCTCATAACATATAGATGACCGGGTATGGCATCAGAGACTGCTTGCAAACTTAAAAGCTTAACCTTCTAACACACTGTACAAAACTGTCCATTCATACCTAACAAATCGCACTTTTGTAGAAAAGTGTGGAAATCCATCAGTAATTTAAGTGCTGAATAGGTCCATGCTTATACTTAATACATAAGTTGTTAAGTTATATTAACTTCGCAATAGATAAATCAGTTTAAGTTTTTTCCCATTTTATGTTATAAAATCATATAATAAAGTAACGTCATCAAACGAGCGAAATCTTCCTGTGGAACTTTTATGCCTCAGCTTTCTGTTCAACATTCTTTCTTCTTCTACGCGAAGGGAGGCAATTGTTTTTGAACTAATCCGTGTGTCCACTTCTGATGTAAGAAAATAGCGAAAGATGTAGGTGTAGATATAGTTTCGGGGTATAGTATACTGCGCCCTTTAAGAGCTATTGTATCCCCCGTGCTCTACCTAAAGCACATCGGTGAGTCCTATTTCATCAAGAAACTTGATTAATAGGCCCGGTTTCAATGGTTGAAGCTCTTCTATGGTCACATTATACATCCCAAAACATTTCCTCCTGTGGGCTAGTGTAGCTCCGCAGTTCGTTAGTAAATATGTTGGTGTCTCTTCTGCCTCTTTGCAGAATCTGCATGTGCCATCTTGGATTATTCCAATTTTCTTTAAGTGTCCATTTAACTTACAGTGTCCTGTCAGGAATCCTATTAGGATTCTGTAATTTCTTTCCTTCCAAAATTGGTTAGTTGGATTGTCTGTGTCCAATGAGTGAATTCCAAAGTTCCCTCATTTTCTTTTTGTCCTTCTGTCTGAGATACTCGTTAATAGTGTGGGTTCCTATGCCACAGAAGGGTTCAGGTCCTTTCAGCGGTGTAGCAGCCCCTTTTCTTGCAAGGGTGTCCGCTTTCTCGTTGCCTTCTACTTCCCATATGTCCTGGGACCCAGCAGAGGCTGACTTTATTCTGCGTACCTAGTATGTTTAGTTTGGTTTTGCAGCAAAATAGAGAAAAGACACAATTTGAAAAGGAAAAAGTATATTGGAGCAATGAAAATAAAAAAAGAAGGTGTGAGGTCCGGTCGAGTTGAAGTCTCGAATTAGAATGATCAGTTCTTATCGATATGAACTTGATTAAAGGATTTTAAGAATTTTCTTCTCTTCAAGAATTTATTTGTTTATTTAACTCTCCTTTTTTGTTGTTTAGTGACGCTATTTGAGTTGCGAAGCTCACTTGTTTTCTCGCTCGGGTTGTCACACGATCTCTAAGCCAGCGTATTAACGATGACACTCCATTCTAACGACATCAGTTTTTTTCTGTGACAATTTCAATATTTCCAAGGGCTTGAAATGGAAGTTACTGTGAGGAAGTCTGATGTATGCAATAAGTCAAGTGTCATAATGGGAATAATAATTATGTGCACAAATATTTATTGTAGAAAGTTTAGAAAAATTAATATAGAGAAAAAAATTAATAAAAGATTCGAAAGCAGATGTAAAATTGGTAAAACCTACATTGTACCGTACTGATAACATACTTAAATATAACCGGTAATTAAAAATTAGCATAAGCACTCATGTTTTAAAATTCTAAGGGCGGTACTGTGGGAAATTCTGCGGTGATTACAGTCCCCCAACGGTATTGGCGTATAACCGTTGGGAATTAAAACGATTCTGGGCTTTTTTAAATCATTACAGTAACTATATCGGATTTTTGACACTGATGATTTATCATGATTGGTTATGGTGGTTCGTTTCATTTCGGAAGCAGACAATGAGCCTTTTTATCGTCGTCCTTGCATCGAAACATAACAATTGGGACTTTTCCCTTGAACGGCCGCGGGTTGACGCGGAAACGAAAGTTAATTAATCAGGCTGGAAGAAGCAGAAAACGATAAGAAATCTGAACCCAGCGACCCAAAATCTAACGGACTAGCAATTAATAGGGAGATAAATCGGATAATTGAATATAACAAGCGAAATTTATTTTATAATTATGCAATTCAAAATAATTTGTTGCGCTAGATGAACAATCGATTGGATTAATTGGAAAACAACGCACACAGGATTGTGTAATCCGTTTCACATTTATAATATGGAGAATTCGCGCAACCGTTGAATCGAGTTGAATGTGCTATTATGCTATTGTAAAGATTATTCATAGGGTTCTGAATAAGTTTCGTGATTTCTTTTTCACGATAAATAACGATTAATTGATTTGTTAAATGCCAAAAATATGTAAAAAAAAAGGCGAAATTATCTGTTGTAAATTTTAACCTTTTTCGACCACCGTTTTTGTTTTTTCCTTTTTAAATCAAGATTGTTTCTTACGGTAGGTAAACAAAGCTTTACCTTAAGGTAAGAAATATAACACTTACACACCGTTTAACAGATCCCTGATCGTACAAGCTACGAGTGTGCTATTGGTTCGGAAATAGCAAAATTGCATCACAAAACTCCTCGACGTTTATAATTCGATTAACACAGTTTGCTTGAATCCCCTTTATATTTTTTAAAAATATTTATCACAATGAAAAATATATATATTCCAAAAATTATTCACACAAAAAACAACTTGAAAAATTGTATAGATTTCGTTAAATATTCCCGAGAAAATAAATTTTTCTTTGAGGTTGTTCAGTTGAGTTGTTTATTTGCACTTTTACGCAACGCTTTTACACCCCAGAATTGGGCAATAAATTAAATAAATGTAATTAATTTACTATCATCTTTGAACTTTACGACTAGTACTTCTTACATATGGATTCAGGGCTTTCTTTTTTATTTCAATTGTTTACATTATTACCGCAATAATTAATTAATAATTTAGCTTGTTATGGATTACGTATGC